GAGACGTGGTAGACATCATGCACACGAGCCTGGCGTAGGTAGTCGGGCAACTTCACACGAAAGCTGACCGGGCTAGATGCCGTATCAGAACCGATGGCCTGGAGGATGCGGCATGGGCCAAAGAAGCGATGCCGAAACTTGCGAAGCGTGTCCGCTTCGAGTTGTAAGTGGCGGGCGTCGATAAGCACATCATCACCGACCTTGAATGGGTGATCCATCTCGATCGGTTCGCACGTGCTGCCATGCGAGTCTGGRAAGCGGCTATGTGCTCATGTGCGGTCTACATAATCGACGTCATGTGTGCAACCCAATCATCCAGCGCGGGACAACTCGTATCGGGGTGCACCTGGGACGGTCGAAGGAAGTCCGCGGGAACACGCGGGTGATTGCCGAGGTCGCAATAGTAAGGCGACATCCCCGTGGCTGGCGAGACGGCGTGGTTGTAGGCTATCTCCGCGTGGGCAAGATGGAGATCCCACTGCTGGTCATCACGAACAAACTTTCGGAGAATATCCCCGAGAGTCTTGTTCGTGATCTCGGTCTGACCATCAGTCTGAGGATGGTAAGACGAGGAGAAGCGGAGCTGAGTGCCGTACACCTCGTGGAGCCGTCGCCAGAATCCACTGGTAAAGCGCGGGTCACGGTCAGATATGATGCTCAGAGGTAAGCCGTGGTCACGCACGACTCGGTCAAATACGATGTCGGCGACCTCACATGCACTGATGGCATAGCGGCACGGAACAAAGCGTGCACGCTTCGTGAAGCAGTCGACGACGACCAGGATAGCATCATGACCACGGGGGGTCGGAGGTTGAAGAGAACCGATAAAGTCCATCGAGATGGACTGCCAACGACCCTCAGGGATAGGAAGAGGCTGGAGCAAACCATAAGGTAGGTGATTCGCATTGTTCACCTCCTGACAGGTGGGACACTCGTCGACGTAGTCCTTCACAAAGTCCTTGCGCTTCGGCCAGACATACAGGCGGCTCACACGAGCCAACGTCTTGAGGAAGCCCATATGACTGGCAGCTGCCTGGTCATGGAACTCTGCTACTGCTCGGACACGTAGCTGTCCAGTGGAGGGAACGCAAATACGGGGCTCTCTGTTGCCCTGTGAACCGTGCCAGTACACAAGACCGTTATCCCCGAGAGAGTAGTTCGAGACGGTCTTGCCACTCCGAAGGATCGCGTGAATGTCGCGATAGTCGGGGCAGTGGCGGTACTGAGTGCGAAACTCGTCGATCACCGAGTGGTGGACGGTGGTGACCGAGATGGAAGAGAGCTGGATGTGCTCCTGGTCGTGGTCAGGGC